GATAACAAGAAATAAATCGGATTGCATCGCTTAGATTCATCGCACGCTTCTTTCGTAGGATGATACACAACGAAACTCTTTGTCGACGAAAAATAATGATTTCATATCGCTGCAATTTCTCTGCCGCTTAACGATCAACTCCGATTAGATAAATAAAATTGCGAACGAAGATCATTTCACGAATTAGCAAAAGAAAAAAATCGGTACATGTAATGACGATAAACGAAGCTATCTTCCTTATATTTTTCTTCTATTTCGAAATAAATAGTCTTCCAAGGAAGACTTGAATAATTGTTCTTACTTATTTTATTCATTCGCATTTTCAAACCAAGACAGATTTTGATTCCACGAAACTGCAGAACAGAGAAGAGATTCATTATTTTATCGTTTGCCAAGGAAACAAGGTCGCCAAGGGTGCTTCCGAGTCTTCTCTTTGATGCTCTCCGAAATGAAGGGTTGCGGGTAAATGGCGGGTTAACCTGCTGCTCTAGGTTCCCGCCTCGAAAATCCCGAATCTTCTAATTTAATTAGGATTCTGTTTGTGAAGGGACCTATAGTCAATCGACGATTAGAGGAACGTTGTCATTAAATCTTGGAGCAATCGAAGTATCAGGCGCTTCAAATTGGCTTGTTAAATTTCGAATAAATCAGAATTTTCCGAAACGTGAAATTTTCAATTTTTAACAAGGTTGATGTTTTGCATTCCGTCGAACGATCGTAAAATTTGAATCTAAATTATTGATTTCGCTTGTCAATCATCGTTGATTGCAGTCCAGTCGTTGAGAAACGGGGTTGTGTCCTTCGATCGTTTCCGCTAGCACCGGAAGTTGGACCTGTAATTTTCCACGTAATTTCGTCAAATCCGTGACGTTAGTCAGTCGAAAAGGCACGATGCTTTTTCTCACAAACGGCGTTCTGTTCTTTAAATGGTAGCTTCTTATCCGGCGGAAGAAGGAAGAAAAGAAGCCTATTACTGCCTCGAACTCCCGTTTCATCGGTATTAAACGACACAAACAATCGGACGAGAATATCGGACGAAGCGATGTGGATTTAAAGAAGTCGCTGCCTAATTGAAACGAGCGCAGTCGACTTAATTTCACGCTGAACGCGGAGAAGGAAAAAGAGCCATACGCCAGCCGAAGGATCTTTGAAAAGATCTCTCTCGGTGTGCCTTTCTCTCGGTGTGCGGTTGCCGCCCTTGCGCCTCGGTGGCAGAAGCAGACGTTGTAACGCTGAGATTTACAGTGGCGCTTGTAGGCAATAAGTCATGTCCAGTGAACATGTCGCCTACCGCAGACCTTCCACGCGTGGCCCGTCTGCATATATAAAGATGACCGTGCCATGAAACGCGATACGCGCGTACGAGCAGCCACTCCTTCTCGATAATATCACCACGATTCGCTCTTCTGCCATTTGCTCTTTTAAAACGCCGAAATTTCTTGCCATTGAGTCGTCGATCCTTCGTACATACGTTTGATTTCATTCGCACGATTTATGGGGAAAAGTATA